CACAAGGGAAAAACTAACCACCGCGGGGTGCAAGAGACACTGCAGGCGTTGCGACGAAGATATTTTTGGTGGGGAATGAAAAAAACGATAGCGGAGGTCATAGAGACTTGCGAGGTGTGCTTAAGCACAAAATGTGATATACATCCCCCAAGAGGGATACAAGAGGAAACACCCACAGCTGATGCACCGCTCAGTAATTTGCAAGTCGATACATTCACGTGGAGAGGTTATAAATGGGTCACGGTGATAGATCAGTTTAGTAAAGCAGCGATGGCGTACCTGGTGCAGGATCGATCATCAGGGGCAGTACTAGGAGCCCTTCAAATGTGGTTCCAGTTATATGGTGTGCCCAACCGAATATCATCCGATGGGGGTAGAGAATTCGATAACGCTAAGATTAGAGGAGAAATGAAAAACTTAGATGTAGTGTGGCACCTTAACAATCCAGGGCACCTCAAGAGCAGAGGGAGTATAGAGAGACTGCACAGTACTCTCAGCGATCACTTAAGGGTATATCAGATGGAGAAAGGGCTGGAGCCGGATGTGGCAATGCGAAAGGCGGTGGCAGCATATAACCACTCTATACATACCGTCACGGGGTTCTCGCCATTTGAGATTATCTTTGGATTACGCGGGGGTCAAAGGGACTGTGAGGATACTGCGGCGGACGAGGAAATGACGGGAAAAATAATTAACAATAAAATAGAGTTAGAGAAATTATGGGAAAAAGTCTGGAGGAAAATAGAGGATGAAAAGCACAAGAGAGTGACACGCGAGAATTTGAAAGTGAAAAATGTGACAGGAGAAATAAAAATCGGCTCTATAGTCTATCGAAGGATTGGCTCTAATAGAAGAAAAGAATTTCTGAGGTACGAGGGCCCATTCAGAGTGATAACAATTAGGAAACATAACTATTGAGAGCGTAAAAGAACCGAGGAAAAGAAGAACAGTTCACATTGAACAGCTCTAAATCCCAATCAGAATGTCAGAGCTGCTGTAGAGAGGTGGGCTAGTATCTATTATACAAAGTTTACGAAAATTGTTCGTAAACTGGCGGGGAGGAGTTAAGAATCGTAAATGCAATGGTATTAATCATAATACCATTTCATATTTAATCTAATAGACAATAATGACACCACATGTTAGATTTAATATCATCATTCATTATTATCTTTGTCGAGTTTGAATAAAGTAAAGTTGTTTCTTGGATTCATTGAATACTTATTCAACTGACAATTTACAATAGTTTAACCCGCTGACATTTAACTTTATATATATATATATATATATATATATATATAGAGAGAGAGAGAGAGAGAGAGAGAATAGAATAGAATAGAAAATAATTGTATTCTGGGACGAAGTCCCTTTAGAATAACAAAAAAGTACAAAATTAAAATGTTATATCTGGCCAAATAAAAACAAACATAAAAAGTAAAGATAAAGATAAACAAGTAAAGAAAATACTAGTTATACATATTATACACAAAATAAAATAAAAAAATCCATATACAAAACTCTTGAAACCTTGCCAAGACACTTAAAATTATGTACAATGGTAAAATATAAATATACACTTTTAGAAAAAATACATTACATTCTTCTTAGCAGTAAACTCGGTGTTTCTGTTGAAAACAAAAAAAAAATGGAATCTGATAATAAGAATTTAAGTTATGAGCTATATGTAAATACATTATTATGAATAATATGTAATTTTACATGAAAGGTTAGCGGGTATCTGACTGTTTTTGGGACAGGGATTGGAATAGGAGGGTTTTGAATGTAGATAGGGAGGAAGAATGCCGAATTTTGATAGGAAGGGAATTCCAAAAATTAACAGAGCGAGTAATAAAGGGGTTATGGAACGAGGCAGATCTGTGAGAAGGAATATAAAGGTCGGAAGGTCGAGATCTTGTGGAAAGGGAGTGGACTGAGAACTTGAATTGGAGAAGGTTATAGGCGTAAAAAGAACAATGATTGTTGATGATATGATAGAGGAACGTATCTAGGAAATATTGTCTTCGAATGGAAGGGAAGAGCGATAAAGGGATGACTAACTCAGTGTAGTGGTGAGAGACATGGTAGTATCTCGTGGCATCAATTACAAATCTCACGCAATTGTTCATTAGTCTTTTCAGTCTGTCACGGAGCTCCACCGAGAGTCCATCATCCACCACACAGCTGGAGTCAAAGTGGAGGAAGATGAGAGAGGAAACCAGGAATCTACGCGCATGTTGAGGTAGGAGATGGCGGAAGTGATGGAATAGTTTGAGGGTAGAAATTGTCCGTCGGGAGATGTGAGAAATATGTTGATTCCAGGAGTGGGTTTGATCAATGAATAGTCCTAAATTTTTGACAGAGGAGTAGAAGGAGATTGGCTGGTTACCAAGGTTTAGTATGGGAAAGTCGGTATAGGATCTAAGGAGGGGCTTGGAACCAATGACAAAGGGCCTGAGTTTTAGCAGCATTTAACCTTGATCCGTTTAAGTTTGTCCCGGCACAGATTCGATCTAGGTCTGCTTGGATCTTAATAAATGCTACCAATAGCTCAGGCGGAAAAAAGGATAGATATATTTGAGAATCGTCTGCATAAAGGTGGTGGGAACAATGGAGAATTGAGTCATGGAGGTCGTTAATATAGGAACTAAAAAGGAGAGGAGATACATAAATCCTTGGGCAACTCCAGAGGTTAATGGCAGATAGGCAGATAGTGGTTAATTAGGAATGGAGCCTGCTTGGGTGCGTTGTGAGAGAAAAGATTGGAACCAATCGATGGAGCTATTGGAGAAGGAAAGTGATTTTAGTTTGTTGAAAATGATGGGATGGTTAATGGGATCGAAGGCTTTAGAGAAGTCAAAAAGTATAAGGACAGTTAATTGTTTATTATCTATTGCAGTCTGAACATCAATGGTAATTTTGATTAAGGCGGATTGTGTGAAGTAGCCGGGACGGAAACCAGATTGAAGAGGATCAAGTTGGTTGGACTTTTCGAGGAAATTGGAAACTTGGGATTGCACCAATCTTTCTAAGGGTTTTGAGAGATTGGAAAGAATTGAAATTGGGCGAAAGTCTTCGGGAGAGGATGGACTAGGCTTTTTATTTAAAGGGAGTACAGTGGCTTTTTTCCCCAAGAGATAGGGAATATTGAGTTCGGTAGGAAAAAATTATAGATGAAAAGAGAACTGGGAGGATTTCGTGGAGACATAATTTAATCAATTTGACAGGAATTCCATCTGGTCCTATGGAATTGGTGTGGGATTTCATTACTGCTGTTAATAAGTCAGTCGGGGAAATGTCGGAGAAATAAAAGTCATCATCATTAAATGATGACTCAGGGGCAAAGTTGGAAGAGGAGGATAGAGAAGAGGTAGAGGTGGCAGAAATATTCTGGAAGGTTCACAGAGGGAAAGTTTGCGAAGGATTAACCATTCAGATTTGGGATCTGGAGCAGATGAAAGGGCTTCATGGAAATAGGAAGCTTAATTTCGCCGAATTCTTGTTTGTGTCAAGTTGTGGAGCACCCTAAATGCTTGATAGTCATCTGTAAGCCTGCTACATCTAAAGCGTCTACGGGCAGCATCTCGCCTCTTCTGCAGATACCTTAATTTTTGGCACATCCAAGGTGCAGGCTGGCGGCGAAAGGTTGACATTTTTATGGGAGCATGGGTGTTAAGGATATTGAGGAGATTGGAAGTCAGGACTCAACCATGGAGTCGATGGAGGAGCAGGAATATATTTCGTTGAAGTCTAAGTTTCAAGGTCAGGTAGTATTTTTTCATGGGTGAGAGTGTCTATCTGACAGAAAGTGAAGGTTCTCGGATGAATCAGAGGAGTTTGGATATTATATGTTATTAGGATCACGTCGTGAGACGATAAGAAGGGTACTGGCAGTTGAGAAGAGGACAGTTATATTAAAAAAATTAAAAGAATAATTAATTTTAACCCATTAATAAAGCAACTGAATTAAAGAAATAAAATTAAAATATTACTTAATATAAAACAAAATTTGTTATTTGGAGAGATTAAAGGAGAGGGAGACGACGCCATTGCAAGGGGCGCCAAATATCTCAGACGGGCACTGTGTTAGGCTACAGTATTATAGAATGATAAAAGTTCTGGACATTACTTATCTATTGTATGTAGATTAAAAGGATTTTCTTATTTATTAGTTCTAAAAACCTTCTAACTACATATACTGTTTTAGTCAACTCATGTAAATCGGGTTATTTGCTGAGTAGCTTAATTGTTTGTCCCCAATTCATGGCGCCCCACCACTAGCCGCGGAGTCTTGATCGCCCCGCCCACGCGACGACCCTGGACCCCGCCATCATCAATTTTACTGAACAGAGGCGCAAGCGCTGAGGATCTTTTCCAGGAGGGACCGCCTTTTTTACATATATTAATCATCTTTATAGCTTCCTTTCATTTTTTTTTTTTGCGGAGTCGTTTAAATAAAAATTTTAACCACAATGTTACCCAGCTGGATTATAAAAGAATGTTGAACTCAATAACGAACATGAGATATTAATTCCCCCATCTTTACATCTGTTTAATATACGTAGTTGATTGAAATATAAATTCATCCAATCGATTAAGTATTTTTATTTTGTACATTTCAAAATAAACCAAATTACATATCATTATTAGTAAATATTTAATTAATTGCCTTTCATAACACATATTTTACGTTTATTCTTATTTCACCAATTATAGTTTACAAATTTGGAATTTAAATTTATTTAATAAATATATAGAATACTTTTATTGTAAAATGGTGAACAATAAATAAATTATAAATATTTTACTGCAATGCTATATGAAATAAGAAACATTTAACAATGAAAAATATATAATAAAGTTTATTCAGAAATAGGGTGGGGCCGCGGGTGGCAGCAGTGGTAACTGGCCCTTTATAATCCCTCCATTGCTGGATCGGCGTCTAGACGATTCTGAGCTGGGTTGTAGTAATTGTTGGGATTGATTAGTACATAACTGTTACCATGAGGGAAATTGTTCACATTCAGGCAGGACAATGCGGCAACCAGATTGGTGCCAAGGTAATTGAAGAACTATTTGTGTAATTAATCGAATTCTGGTGGTTTAATTATTATCAATTAACTTTATTAACTTTAAAAATTAAATTTACCCTCCTACTAAGCGAATGAAGTTTTCTTTAAAACGTTTAGAATATTTTGTATTGTGTTCTGTTCTATATTTTAAGTTTGTTTTGGTTGTTGGATAATAGTTACATGTCATTAACTTGTGTATCATGTAAACACCCATTTATGTTTTTTCTTGTGTGGAACAGAATTTTATATTTCAGGGTGTTGATTACCGGCTTTAATAGATATAATTCGATTTTTTAACCTGCCATTTTGTGACTTGCGTAGAAGCCATTTTAGAAACGTTTTGATATTACCGGTATAATGTATTTAATATATCCAAGTTAATAGAGAAATACTTCACAGTTCTCAATGTTATCAAATAGGTGGTTTAGCCTTATTTTGGATCTTAATATTGTAGTTCTTCAACTTCTTATAATTATAAGTGGGCTAAGCTCAAACTGACCTGTAATTTCTTTAGCTAATTTATCAGAAAGTTAATGTAGCCATATTATTTTTGCTTTAGCATTAGTTAAAATTAATATTTCTTCAATTTTTACTTGAAAGTAAGTTGATGTTTTACCCCACCTAAACCATGAGTCATGATGTGTAAACTATGCCCCTTTTAGGTAACATCTTTAGTATGACTAATTGTTGATGTTTGGGTATTAATTAACGATTTGTTTAAAGAAACTAATGTAATAACAAATTCTGTAATACTATATATTTTGTTTTATTAGCTATGGGATTTTAGTTTATTTCAATATCTTATCAAACTTTTCCTTCACTGTATATGGACTGCATATGTAACTTACTGGAAAGGTGAGATGTAATGAATAAAAGAGAACTTTATTCTTAACATTTCAATACATGATTGATACCCAGAAAAAAGTAATTGCCATCAGAAAGAACATTTTTCTATGTTTTATTTTTTAAATTATTTAGACTGTTTACATAGTAACTAACAATTGTTGAACAATTTATAATTCACACTATTATTTAATCAAACATTAGGAAATAGAAGAGAGGATAATTTAGTAAAAAAAAAAAAAATATATTAAAATTGCTTTAACACCTATTTTCAGAAATATAAGGATTACATTTTTATAGAAGATAATGACATCATCATGCTAACTCTTCTAGGATTTTATTTTTTTATGACACAGCTGTAATAATTTTACTATGTTGTAGTTCTTAATTTATTCTCTTTTTTTTCTCCTGTTAATTGTTACTCTATTCAGAATTTTAATGTGCATATGTAATCTTAAAATATTTATTTATTGATTAAAATTTACCCTATGTCCTAACATAGATGTTCTCAAGTTATGAGTAATAGTGCAACTGTAATGCATTGATTCATAGCTGGAAAAGCTTGCTTTTTAAGGTGGGTGTATAAGAGGAAATGATGTCATCCTTTGGATTTCATCTTGACATTTTCTTATTGAATCTAAAATATAGTGTATTTTCTACATTTGTATAGTTCATTGATTTAATAAATTTATCTTCTTCTAATATATATTTAATTTCTTTAACGTAGTAACCTGTAATCCTGACAAATTTTTATTTTAGTATTATATATACACATACCTCTTTACACATTAACTATAAAATATTAATAACATTTTAGTTTACAATTAATTCTTAAAATTAAATAAAAAAAAAAATGCGACTTTTCAAATTTGATTTTCGCTAAGTGTACTACTCTTGTAGTATTTGTTTTATTCTTTATTCTATCATCTGACCTGTATGGTAAAAATATTATATTCCAAATCTATTATATCACTTTCACGTTATTATTTATTAAGCAAAATATTTTATTCTCCTGCACTAATCTTAGTTGTTTGTTTTACGAAGCCAGAACGATGGTTAAAGTCTACCGCATATATAAAATTGTTAATAAACAAAGGAATTTAAAAAACAAACCAATTAAGTAGTCCCAGAGGACTTCATAAAGAATGATTATTTTTTTTTACTGTTTGGTATTGACTGACCTTAATAACACGTAATTACATCTTAATATCGAAATGAAATGGTAATAGGTCAAGCTTGTCACAATTGCTGATAAATCAGTTTACCCTACCACTGCTAGAGCTACAAAACCAAAACCAAGAAGCTATTGTGGTCAATTATAATCTATATAGACTATTTCAATTGGCTTTGAAATTGTTGGTCCATAAAAATTATTTCTCAAATTTTTAAGTTGCATGAAACAATATTACAAATTTCTCTCTGAATATTGAGTTTTTTTTCCTAAACATGTAACAACAGTTATGCAATGCTGTCTGACATGATAAATTAAGTAATAAGGTAACTAAAATTTTGATGTTACTAAACTTGTATGCGTTGTAAATTTCAGTCATATTTAATTTAACAGAAATTTAATAAAAATAACTAAAGCATTGTTATGTTAAAAATAGTTATTCTAAATACATAATATTCTGATTTTAAAGAGGGAAAGTTAATCAAATTACTTTGTACTTCATTTTCAGAAAAATTTTATTTGATCTGGGAGCGGGGTAGGACACTAAGCTTGCCTAAAAAGTGAAGTTTACAGTGGGTCATCGATTTTAACAATTTTTTCGGTGATACTGCAGTGATAAATAATATTTATAAATACAGCCTAGCAAGACATGTTGTACAATTTTGTTCTCTGAGACATGTCTATAGACCAATCTCTGTCTACAGGCCTCTTACAAGACAAAAATCGCAGGTCTTAATTCTCCCGACCAGAATGATAGAAATTATGCAATGTTACACCTGTTGCAAATTTTGACATTGTGGAGTCCACTCTGCGCCTAGAGGCGAGACACTTCCCAATATGCCTGCAGCTAATGAGTGGTTGGTTCGTCTTTTTATAGTTATTTTTCCAAGTTTTACAGTTCATTTGAAAACTTTTGTTCTAACTAGACATTTTAAAAATTAATTGAAGATTATCATGGCGTCCCCCAGTTTTAATTTATTTAATAGTGCATTATCAAACCTAAGTCCTTTTGCAAACACTTTGTACATCCACCTATGTTTTCATTTTTGCATTCTTTATACAAAACTATCCTCCATGGTAGGCTGCGAAGAAGAGACAAAAAACTGTGTTTAGACTGACTACAGACAAATCTTGCAACAATGTCTACTAGTGTGTACTAGGTTTTATACACATGTCCCTGCGTTCATTCCAATGGGCCCTATAAGCCAGGCAAAAATATATTTTATATAATTTTAAACAAAATTTATATTTTTTTTTTTTATTTGGCTTTGACCGAACTTTTTAGTTATTGTGTATCAGCCGATTTCATTTTTTTATTCAGCATAAGACATTTAAAAAAAAGTATTCAGTGAATTTTTTTTCTGGCCAATAACTAAAGCATTCATAACTTCTTACGATTTCCTCCAAATCAGTTATTGACTGGGAAAAAAATCTTAAGAATATCAAGTAATAAAATTTTTTATAGGACACTGAAAACAAATCCTATTTACTGAAAGTATCTTTTGGTTTCTGTAATTTATGATAAATTGTAACTAGAGATCGGATCTTCTAGCAGTAAAAATCCGAAAAACTTGCAACAAAAAATTCAAAATGTGCAAAATCATGCAGTAAAAACCCAAAAATTGTCTAATTTACAACTGAAAACTTGCAAAAATTATCTATTTTGTTTAATTTATAATATTAATACATCTAAATCCTATAAAATCTTATGTTAAGCTTCTGAATTAATATATTGTCACAAAAAAAACAAAAATGTAACAATGAAATTTAAAATCCATATTACAATAAACTAACGACAATCAGGGGTGCCCATCCTCCCACAGTTGATGGTGCATGACTCTCCCTTTCTAACAAATTTTATTTGTCTCCTCTTCTTAAATACAGTCCAACCAAAATTATATTTAGAAAAATTGTAGATCACATACGATAACATTTACTCTGGTTCATGTTTTTTCTTGTTCGTTCCCTGGTTATATACTTTTCACTCCGAAAATTCATAACCTCATCGAAACTTATTCCCCTCAAAAATTTAAGACCTTGTCAGAATGTGCCCCCTCAAATTTTTGATGGCATAACTTTTGCCATAAAACCTCCTGCTTTTGGCAACAATAGCTTGAAAACAACAATACATAATCTAATATAACAATAAATTACTATTAACCTAAATCTTAAAGAAAGAGAAATTTAATAAATAACAAGGACTAACAAATTATTTAAGTTTATTGTTTATTTAAAGATAATGTTAATTGTCTTGCATATACTAGGAATGAAATATAGGACAGGAACTTCAAATGATAAAAGATATGAAGGATTAGTATATGTTATATATACCAGATCAATTGATTTCAGATATGTAATTTTAATTAAAAATAGTATATGTGCATACATGACAAATTGTCGACATTATAATGAAAACTGTAATTTTTAATGGAATTGAAGTTTACAATATATATTTCGAAAATTGTTTCTCCTATCACTTAATACGTCTTTTAACTGGGAAAAAGAACGTGAACTGATTTAAGGGCACTCATTTTGTAACAAGCAACCACTGCTGGTTCTTTTGCGACATTAACATTTATACCGTTATTGCAGTCGTTATATTTTTTTATTAGAGCGTAACCTGTACTTAATATTTATTACGGAGTAAAATTTTTGAGATATCATTTTTCTTATTTCACTATTGGTTTTTTTTTTTTTTTTTTTTTTTTTTTTAAGATTTTCTCCTATAGTTTCTATTATTTCAATTTGTTTATTAAGTGGAGTGAAAATACATGGAAGGCAGTTTTTTTATTGAATTACTTCAAGTAAGTTCTTTTCCACGAATAGTCTATATGCACTTGTGTTTACTTCGTCCTTTTGTAACATTAAATTTGAATCTTTACCAGTCCCAGAGTCAATTACCTTTCTCATATTTTTCTTTATTATATTGTAAATTTAATATGGATAAGATATTAAAATGAAAAGTAAATATTTACACCCACATATATATATTTGTATTTACAAATCATTTAATCTACCACTAACTGTACAAAAATATGCAATTTCATGCAATATAAAATTTAAATTGTTATTCTACACATCCTGAAACAGATGGTTTTTACACGCAAGTGAATAAAATGTGCAATAACATGGAAATCCGATCTCTAATTAAAACTCTTATATTATCATAGTCTATATATTTTTCTAATTCTGCACAAAAAATGAAATTGATTGATGCACAATAACATAAAAGTTCGAGCATACCAAATATTAAAATAAAATACATAATATAAATTATGTTTGAAATTATTTAAAATATTTTTTTTTGCTGAGACAACCCAGGCATAATACACCTACTTGAAATACCTAATTTTAGTTTTCAACAATTTTTGTTTTTGAGCTAGTATACTTTCCATTATTGTGTTGTTTATTTTTTTAGTTAAAGGTCAAAAAATAACTAGCTTTTTTCCGTCCACGCCCTGCTGTGGCTCAGTCTGGCAAAGTGGATAAGAAAGAAAATAGAAATGACTTATGAGTAGCTTAATATTAAAGGACATCTGCCATTGTTAAATAAGTTAAGGGGGAAAATATTTTTGTAACATAGGTTCAATTTAAACTAATTCTAGTGATTTTTTTATTATAATTATAAGCTAAAATAAACATATAATTTTAATTATTTATGAGACCAACTGAAATTTTTACCTTCTGTTCCTTTGCTCCTATTAGCATTTTTCCCCTCAAGGAGTTTCTTATTCTACTCAACTTTTCTTCTTCTTTTTTTTTTTTCATAAAGTTCTGGGAAATCATCTCAGATGAGCATGGCATTGACCCCACTGGCTCATACCACGGTGATTCTGATCTTCAGCTTGAAAGAATCAATGTTTACTATAACGAAGCGTCAGGTATTTATATTATATATTTTAATTTTGTGCAAAATAATTCTATTGATTAATCTAAGCTATTAAAAAAAAAAATTGTTCTACATGCATCATCACAACATTTACCTATTATCCTATTTTAAATAGAAATAAATATTTTCATGCCTCAAGAGGTATAAGTAAAGGTTATAGATAGTACAATATATATTATTTAAAATAATAACCATCTGATTTTTCCACTCTGCAAGGTTATTAGTAAGCCACAAATATATTTCCATAATCTATTAAGACCCAAAAGCATATAGATAATGTAACTTAAAAATAATTTGCAGATGCAGTTTTATTATGAGCTGCATTCTATGCATTAAGCATCTAGCCTAGACTAAGGTGACAATATTTTAACATTAGTAAAGTGGGGCAAAACCATTAACCCGGAGTGGAGATAGTCCAAATTTGTTACAATAATTAATTTTACATAATGATAATCTGTTGTGCAAATGTTAACAGGTGATATAGTATTGAACTGAAATAAGGTAGAGAATTAAGTTCTAAAGACATATTTTTGAGAGCGAATAATTTGGTGTTATATTTGCAGTCTAATTTATGACTTCAGTAATAACACAGTTTTTAAGACTTGGATATTTTGTGCAAGCAGTTAGTACATATTCAAGCAGCTCTTCTTTTTTAAAGTACTATAAAACTTATTGAAGAGGAACAATATTTTCCATAATCGAAGTAGCAAATGAAATGAATTTGCTAATGCCAAGATTTGACCGTTTCCTCACCAATGTATATTTTTAATAATGATGCCTTATTAAAAAAGATCATTTTTGGGTTTTTTATTAAGTCCAAAGAATGGTGGTCAAATTCTAACAACTGATCAGCTTTTTACTTATCAGTTCTCAACAATTATTCGGTATTATAAATGTTTAGCATTATAAAACTTACATCCTGGCCAAATAGAAACATGGCCGCTGAAAACCATATTTATTCTCTTCCCATTCTGAAATTCTTTAGTATGATAGCATCATCCATTCTTTCCAAAAATAGGCACTTTTTAAAACTCCGCGGGATGTCTGTCCAATCTCGCCTTTCTTTCAAAATATAAGAGTTATAAATGATAAGACTTATACTTTTTTCTATTCTATTTGAACAAAAAAGTTGTTTTTCCTTTCAAATTGAGGGAAAATTTCAGAATAATTGTTAGAAAGGTTTTGTAGAAAGCATTCCTGTAAGCTGGATGCCAAATTTTATAATAATAGTTTATGAATAACTCTGATTCCTATGTGTCTGTTGTATACTGCCTTCACTGCGTAATCTATTTCCTTTTGTAATTGTGTTGGAGGTGGAAAGTATGTACCTAGAGCAATTTTGGTTGATCTGGAACCCGGGACCATGGATTCAGTACGTTCAGGACCTTTTGGACAAATCTTTCGACCTGACAACTTCGTTTTTGGCCAGTCAGGTGCAGGAAACAACTGGGCTAAAGGCCATTACACAGAAGGAGCTGAACTCGTTGATTCGGTTCTTGATGTGGTTCGCAAAGAGGCTGAATCATGTGATTGTCTTCAGGTATTCATCTATCATGCTTACTTGGATATCTCTAAACTACGTTAGAATTATGCTAATAATCGATTGTTAGGGTTTTCAACTGACTCATTCCCTTGGAGGTGGCACTGGTTCTGGAATGGGAACCCTGTTAATTTCCAAAATTCGTGAAGAGTATCCTGACAGAATCATGAATACTTATTCAGTTGTACCATCACCCAAGGTAACAGATTAATATTTTATGATGTATTTTTGATTTACAAATACATTGTATAAATTATATTTACAAATACGTTGAAGAATCAATGTTTGGTTTAAAAATCTATAGGTTTCCGATACTGTTGTTGAACCTTATAACGCTACTCTGTCAGTTCACCAGCTTGTTGAAAATACAGACGAAACTTATTGTATCGATAATGAAGCTCTCTATGACATCTGCTTCAGGTTCGCTAAGCATATCCTAGTTAAAAAGCCAAAATAAAACTAAGTTTTTATATCTATTATATATATAAATATATATCTATTAACTTTTCTAGAACTTTGAAGCTTTCTACTCCTACTTACGGAGATCTCAACCATCTTGTATCTCTTACGATGTCCGGTGTCACAACTTGCCTTAGGTTAGTTCTATATTTCCTGAAACTATAAGTCATTTTAATTGTCAATAGTTTATTCAACTATGAATGTATGATTAATTTCAGGTTCCCTGGACAATTAAATGCAGATCTTAGGAAACTTGCAGTTAACATGGTTCCCTTCCCCCGACTTCATTTCTTTATGCCAGGGTTTGCTCCTCTTACTTCCCGGGGATCACAACAATATAGGTATATTAGTGTGAATTGTATGGTGTTGATAACTTTAATTTATATATAACTATACTGGATCCTGAATTCCTTTGTTACTTTTGTAATGTATGTGTAGGGCTTTGACTGTTCCTGAACTGACACAACAAATGTTTGATGCCAAAAATATGATGGCTGCATGTGATCCTAGGCATGGCCGTTATCTTACTGTGGCAGCCATTTTCAGGTGAGTTATTTTGGAGAACTCATTATCATAATGCATAGTAAAATAAAATAATATTGTTTTCATTCATTCATTCTTTTTTAAGAGGACGAATGTCAATGAAGGAAGTTGATGAACAAATGTTAAATATTCAAAATAAGAATTCCTCATACTTCGTTGAATGGATTCCAAACAATGTTAAGACTGCTGTTTGTGACATCCCGCCAAGGGGTCTTAAAATGTCTGCAACATTTATTGGCAACTCTACCGCTATTCAAGAGCTGTTTAAGAGAATATCAGAACAATTTACTGCTATGTTCAGGAGAAAAGTGAGTGATATCTAGTTCTATATGCTTTTATATATTTTTCTTTCTGTTATGATGTAAAGTTGTTGGTTACGAGGGATTTTTGCAATTATTATTTTGATATTTTCTCCTTTCCTAGGCTTTCTTGCATTGGTATACTGGTGAAGGAATGGATGAAATGGAATTTACTGAAGCTGAATCTAATATGAATGATTTGGTTTCTGAATACCAACAATATCAGGTGATGAATTTTTATTCTTGTGTCATGTGTATTTGCATATCTTCAGTAAAAGTGACTATGTTAAATCTTTTAACTGAAAAACTTAAGTTATCATTGATCATATTTGTATTTTTAGGAAGCCACTGCTGATGAAGATGCTGAATTTGATGAAGAACAAGAACAAGAAGTTGATGATGCTTAACTTCAATGACATTCCAACTTGATATTCCTATTTTATGGAAAAATTCCCTTGTTGCATTTATTATTTTATATTTTTAAGTACTGCCTTTTCTACTTATAATGATCTAATTTATTGTTATTGCTTATTAAGTTTATTTTGTCACCTTTTTCATTTGTATACTTCGATTAAACAGCAAGTCTGAATTTGTGGAAATATTTATCAATGTTTAACCTCTTCCTGTTTTCTTTATTTTATAACTAGCTTTATCCAGCCATGCGCTGCTGTGGCTTAGCCTGGCAAAATGAAAAAGAAAGAAAATAGAAAGCGCATATGAGTAGATTAGTAGCAAAGGATATATGTCATTTTTAAAAAGTTGGGAAACAAATTTGTCTGTTAAATGGCTTCAATTTAAACTAATTCTAATGATTTTTTTTTCTCATGATTCAAATTGAACATCATTATGAATGATCTGAGTGAATACGCCGTCATTCATAATCATCAGAAACAGTGCGAGTTGAACTTAAAGCTTAATAAAAAAACGTATAATCGTATTGACCTACATTAGGAGAACCATATAAGGTCTTCAAATTAAATTTCAATTACTTTAGTAATTATAAAATTTTCAATTCACCATAATAAAAAAATGCTTGCCGACCTTCGGTAGTGAGGAAGCAAAAGGAAACGACCTTTTCTAAAGAGAAAACAGTAAATGTTTAAAACTGTAACGAGCTGTCCGATTTCGATGATTTTTTTTTTTTATTTTGTCAGCAATTTTTCATATAAATATGGGTATTATCGATCAAAAATTGTGTACTTTTTTAGTTATCGGCAAATAGAATATTGAATTCATCGTAATATTTTTCAGCTAGTTTTCGGGAAAGTATGTTATACACATAAATTAAAAGGGTTTCAAGGGGAAGACTTAGGCCAATTTTCGTTAAAATCGGTAAAACCTTTTCAGCACTACAGTTTATAGCGACACATTTTTTTGCGGCTTTGAACCGAAAAACATTTAAATTTTTATTTTTTTTTACATATATGAAATTATCCTAAGACAGAAGTACTATGCCAGAAACCTTCCCAGGAGTGTAAGGAACTACCCAAAGTTTCATGGCGGGTACTGTTATATATATATATATATATATATATATATATATATATATATATATATAATAAATAGTACAATAAAACTAGAGAAAAAACTAAGATCTAGTACAATAAAACTAGAGAAAAAACTAAGATCTGTGGAAAAACAATTAAAACTTGTCAGAAATTTTTCTTGAACATTTACATAATCTGTAGGAATTGCTGAACTGACTCTTACCTGGGGTTCAATGTGTGAGAACAGAAAATTAAAATTTCTCAAAAACTAGAGATTTATCGCAAATATTGTATTATTTAAAAAAAATTTTTCTAGGATTTCTACTTTCAGCTAAGTTGCACCTAATGAGATGAAATTGATAATACTATTTCAAGGTTTAATTGTTTTGATTATTCTTAAAAATCGATAATAAATTGTAACAAAACAAAAGAATATTTAACGACAATTGAATAAGAATTTTGTTATGTTGATGTCATGTTAGAGTTAAACATTTCATTGATATTCAAAGAGTTTATAGTTTGTATTAAATTAATTTTTCAATATTCAATTACCCAATTTTCTCTGCTCTATATAATGGAAACTAAAATACTGTCAGAATTTTTCCTGATTCCTTATGAAGAATCAAGTCAGGATTTACCTAATATATATAGGATACTACTATGAAACTTCCCTTAGTGTACAATTTTGTCCCCATCTGAATCTAATAATTTTATATTATAAATAATAAAATATAGTGGACCTGAACTGACTGCAAGGATTTTGTTAAATAAGTTACTTCATAACTGACTTTAGGAAGCCTCTGAAGTTCATATTCTGAGAACATCCAATTTATCCTAGTGGCTTAGTTAAATTATGTATTCTGGTAATTTGGTTTTGAAATGTTTTAAACTTATGTTGGTTTTACAGGTTTGATTGTAAGCATGCCAACTTTCATAGAAAAAGTTGACATTGATAGGTGTAATATGTGAGTAAAGCATTCTACCTCACTAGCGGATCCAGGATTTAATTTTGGGGGGGGGCTTCAGCCCGAAACATTTTTTTTCATAAAAATAACGATAATTACTTTGGAAAAACAGAAAGAAACTAACTACCTATATGAAATGGTGTTTAAGTTATTCCTTAAGTACTTTTAAATGTAATTACACGAACAATAATACTCTAAGAGGTATTTTTAAATATTTTTTTTCCATAAAACATGGTTATATTTTTCCATTTTGGGGGGGGGCTTCAGCCCGAAAGCCCCCCCCCGTAGATCCGCCCGTGTTCTACCTTACATCTCACCCTCAAGCAAGCCTGAAGGGAGGCCCTATAAGGGACTAAGCAGATTAAATTTTCTGTTGTCTATAAGTCGATCCACCTGTAAAATTGGGCCACACATGAAAGAATACCTAAAACATTAATCTGCGCTGTGGGGTGGGCTAAAGTGCGTGCACAGGACCCCAGCAACCTGATCCATGAAACACCGGATTTAAAATGGTCACGAGATGGCGTCCTGGTGCCCAGGAAGTTTTAAGTCCGGGCCCACACCCCTCTGACCCCGGAAAACCCCCTCCCCAATAAAAATTAATCGGAATCTGCGCTGTACTAACTAGTTAAACCATGACTAATTTTTTCTTTATATTAATAATAATAGGAAAATGATAAGTATATAACAAAAAAGAAGCGAGAGTACTTTTAATTCTCGCATTAAAACACCGCCCTCGATTATCTTCAGGCAATTGTCCCAAGCATGAATTTTATGGACGCCTTGAAAGGGTATATGAATCACCCCCAAAGTACGATGTGAAGATGATTTTAGAGAATTTGAATGAACAAATAGGAAGAGAAGAAGTGTTTGACCTACCATAAGGTTGCATAGGAAGCATTAAGAGTCTAACAGTAATTGTCTAAGTGCGGTAGTTTTGCAACGATTAAAGAAATTAAGATGATTATGAGCACATATTTCCCACATAGATCAGCATATAAGGCTACAAGAAACTCCGCCAGTGTAAACAGGTTGGCTGAAGGAAGAGAGTTGAGGTAAATGTGACGAACTCTCCACATAAAAAGATTGTCAAAGAAACTGACGCTTTTTGTATGACAATGATATATAGAATCCCCATGAGGGCCTATTCGGATTCGGGGAAGCTCCAGTCAATGCCTTTGAGGACGAACGGCTGAAGTAGAAAGGTAAAGAGAATATCAAAAAGTTTTAGATATAATAAGAAAATAAACATGAGAGTCGGAACTTGGAATATTAGGAGCTCACTATATGTAGGAGCAAGCCGAGACACTTGAAACTGAGTTGGATAAATATTAAGTGGACGTGGTAGCCTCGCAAGAAATCCGATGCGTTGAGATAGATCTAGTGACATTAGATAAATACATTTTAATTAACAATGTTAATAAATTAGAGACAGGTTCCAAGACAAAAAAAAGAGCCCCAAACAGTCATTGATGAAATATGAAACAGTAAATGAACGAAAGGTTAAAAGGCTGGATTTGCTAATTTGTCAATCATCAGCGTACATGCACCTCCTGAAGAAAAGGAGAACAAGATAAGGATGAATTTTATGGACGCCTTGAGATGGTATACGACTCACTCCCAAAATACGATTTAAAAATGATTTTAGGGGAATTAAAAGGGAAAATAGGAAGGGAAGAAGTGTATAGGCCCACCATAGGATATCGTAGTAAGCACGAAGAGTCAAACGATAATGGAATGAGGGCGGTCTGTTTTGAAATGAATAAAGGACTGAGAATGATGAATACATACTTCCCGCACAAACTAGCACATAAGGCTACATGTGCTCTCCTGATCAAACATCTGAAAATCAGATAGATCATATACTGGTAGGTACAAGACACGCATCACACCTTAAATGTTCGAAGCTACAGAGGAGAATGTATAAATAGAGACCACTACTTGGTATAGGCGGAGAACCAGAAAATTTTGAATGAGCAAAGGAATGTAGTTAAGGCTGAGATGTACACAATGGGTTATAATTGCAGAAAGATAAAACGCATCTTGAAAGGCGCTGCGGAGAAAGTACTAGAAAGGAGAACCAAAAAAGAAACAGTAAAGACTGGCTTGATCATGAATGCAGAAATTAAAGAGGAATTTCACGGACTGTACCACCACTTTCAGGCGCTCTTGAAGAATTCCTGAGGAAAGCTGGAGAACTAGGTTTAGAAATTAATACAGACAAGAGCATGTACATTCTGATCTCAAGAACAGACCGGTTGTCAGGAGACGAAATAAGAATAGAGAACTGGAGATTCAAGAGCTGTGACGAATTTAAGTACCTCGGTAGCACGATTACCTGTAAGAACCAAATAGAAAAAGCTATTAAAGCCCGTATAGCTGCAGGAAATCGGTGTCTGTACAGTATACAGAAGCTGCTGAATTGTAAAGATATGTCAAAAACAATTCTGAGGCCTGTTGTGACATACGGAAGTGTGACATAGTCAAAGACTGAAGCAAAAGAATGCTCCTGTATGGGAGAGTTAAGTACTCCGAAAAATTTATAAGCCAATCAAAGAGGAGGCTCAATGGATAATTAGGTCTAACCTAGAGCTAAAAGAGCTTTATGGTGAACATGTCATTGTTAGAGTCATTCAACTCAACAGATTGCGATGGTTGGGGCATGTGGAAAGGATGGACCTTACAAGAATGCCGAGAAAACTTCTCTATAGAAAGCCAGAACTTAGAAGAAGGTGTGGAAAGCCTCGGCTCAGATGGATTGTCGAAGTGGACAGGGATATGTGGAAGAAGATGTTAGCAGAGGCCATCGTTCTTCAAGGAGCCCAGCAATGTTGAATGAAGGCTACATGGCGATCACTCGATCAAGTATTTGAAAATCCACGTACAACCTACTTAGATGAACGAAGCCACAAAGGAGCGTGTAACAATTGCGACAATTACTTAGTTTTGGTCAAA